TTTTTGGCAATTATTTCTTCAAAGACACTTTCTATCCCTTTTTCTCTCTTCTTCTTCTTCTTCTGGTACCCCTGTAATGCGGATATTGTTCCGTTTTGATTGGTCACTCAGCTCTCTTAGAATTCTTTCAGTCCTGGAGATCCTTTTATCTCTCTTGGCATCAGCTTCTCTGCGTTCCTGTTCTCTGTTTTCTAGTCCATTAATGGTCTCTTGAATCTCGTCCATTCTGTTTTGAAGTTCTTCCAGAGCTTGTTTTATTTTTGTATTCTCCTTCCTTAGTTCTTGCATATTTCTCTGCAAGTCCATCAGCATGGTTATGACTTTTGTTTTGAATTCTTTTTCAGGAAGACTGGTTATATCTATCTCCCCAGGTTCCTTCTCAGGGGAAGACGTAGCAGATGCCAAAGCTGTCTGGGTTAGTCTTGTCTGGATCAAATTTTTTTGCCTTTTCATGTTGATACGTGCATTGGAGTGCTACTGACGCTTCTATCAGCTGGAAGAGTCTAGCCTCTTTCCACTTGGCTCCTGGCCTTTCTTTACTGGGACAACTGCGACCCCTAGTGGCTTTTGTTGGGCAATTGCCTGTAGACTGGGTCTCTGTATCTGGTCTGGCTGGTATGGGGAAAGCTCCCTTACTGAGGGCGTGGCCAGCCTCAGGCTGCTTTTCTGCTTTGGCAGGGCCCCAGAGGGGTAATGGACGGGGGGCTGTTTGGCTGTTACCTCTGTGAAGTGTCTCATATCTGTTGCCCAGGGGGTTAGTGCGCCCAGATTTCCCTGGAATTTCCAGCTGCTGGACTGTGACTTGGGATGTTTCCATCCAGCTGTGGCATCCCTGTCCCGTTAAGACTTTCAAAAAGCACTCGCTTTTCTTTGTCACGGGGGCATTGCCTTCAGGACCTGCTCAGAGGTCTTGCTGCCCTGTTTCCCTAGTTTCCAGCCCTCCACGCATGCACTGTGTCTGCACTCTGGTGCGGATGCCTGGGGCTGGGTGTTTAGCAGTCCTGGGCTCCCTCTCCCTACCCGCTCCTACTCCTCTCCTCCTGCCGGGAGCTGGTTTGAGGGGCGCTCGGGTCCCACCGGGCCGGGGCTTGTATCTTACCACTTTCACCAGGCGCTGGGCTCTCACAGGTGTGGATGTAGTCTGGCTGTTGTCCTGTGTCTTCTGGTCTCTCTTTTAGGATTAGTTGTATTTGTTGTATTTTCAAAAATATATATGTTTTTGGGAGGAGATGCCCACTGTCCTACTCATGCTGCCATCTTGGCTCCGCCTCCTTGCTTATACTTTTTATACTGAAGACAACAGCTATTATGTTAGTAATAGGATAACTGGGGTCCTCTTTCACACTTTTACTATATATGTATTCACATGTGCATACACATACATACTCTACTCTAAAATGGTGCCAATGAAAAAAGAATAGAGTTGTACAGATTATAGAACATTACATACTTCAGTGTCAGAAGGTAAAACCATTTGTGTGTCAAACTGGCTGGATTATAGGGTACCCAGATATACAGTTAAACATTATTTCTGGATGTGTCTGTGATGGTATTTTTGTATGAAATTAGCATTTGAATGGGAAAACTCAGCAAAGCAGTTTGCCCTCCCCAGTGTGAGTGGACATCAATCAGTCCACTGAGGGACTGAATAGTAAAACAGGTAGAGTCCATTCCTGCCTGATCACTTGAGCTGGGACATGGATATTCTGCTCTTGGTGCTCATGGTTCTCAGGACTTCAGACGCAAGACGGAATTACCATACTGGCTTTCCCAGGTTGCCAACTTGTAGACAGCAAATAGGGAATTCCCAGCCTGTATAATAAAATGAGCCAATTCCTTATAAATCAGGAGAACCCTGAGTAATACTTTATTTAAAATTTGTATTTACACTTTCTATAGCTCTTTTTCAGTTCTAGTCTAGCTAATCATCCCCTTTAACTTGTAGCTGTTTCCTTCTAATCAGGTATGAATAATCCTAGTAATTCTTGTATTTTTTAAACTTTTTATTAAAAAAGCCTTAATATATTTAACATTAGAATAAAAATTACAATAACTTTTGCAACATATTCTATGGCATCAGCAATTACATGAATACTCCCAATTTTCTTCCAGGTTTTAATTACTTGGCTCTCTGTAGGGAAGGAGTTAGGCCACGTGACCTAGGATTCTCCTAGTATGTTGACGGTCTGAATCACTATGTAAGGCTGAGAGAAACTTCCTAGAAGCCCAGGGCATGCTGGCTCCAACACTCTTCTTCTTTTATGTAGATCCATGTATCATTTTCCTTTTACTTGAGAACTTCCTTTAACTTGTACAGTTTTGCTCAGATCAAATCCTTCAACATGTTTTTCTAAAGAAATATTTATATTGCCTTCAGTTTGAAGAACATTTCTATTAGACACAGAATTCTTGGTTGACACATTTTTCTTGTAGCCCTTTACAGATGTTCCCAACTTCTGACTTGCACAGTTTTTGACAGTAAGTCTTAAGTCATTGTTTTTTTCTTGATACTAATACGTCTTTGTACCTCTGGCTGCTTTTAAAATGTTTCTCCTATTCATTGGCATATATAATCACAATTTCATGATATGCATTTGTGCTATATGTGTGTGAGTTTATGTGTTCGGCCCACCTCAGTTCACAGACCTTAAGTGTGGGGTTTTACAGAACTCATCAAAACTGGGTAACTTAGAGCCGTTATTTCATCAAGTATTTTTCTGTTTTGCCTCTTCCTCTCCTTTTGGAACTCCAATTATGTGTGTTAGCCTGCCAGATCTAACATCCCATAAGTCACTGATGCTCTGCTTTTAATTTTTTTCTCTATATATCCTGAATAGATTCTTTGCTATGTCTTCAAATTCACTCATGTTACTTTCATATTGTCTTACTTGCTGTTAATCTCATGCAGTAAACTTTTCCTGTTAGATATAGTTTTTATCTTTAGAAGTTCTACTTGATTCTTTTAATAGCTTCCATTTCTCTCATCATGTTCTTTTTTCTTGTAGTTCTTGGAAATAATGTAACTTTTTAACTTCCTTGCCTGTTTGTTTCATCACCTGTTTCCATTGACTGATTTTTTTCATGAGTCACATTTTGTTTATTTTTTTAAATTAAAGTATCACTGATATACTATCTTATGTTGGTTTCAAATACACAACACAGTGGTTCAACAAGTACCCATATTATCAAATCCTCAACCCCCTCCAGTGTGGTCACTATCTATCAATGTAGTAAGATGCTACAGAATCATTAACTATTTTCCATGCTGTACTACCATCCCTGATGAGTCACATTTTCTTGATTTCTGTTCAGTTAGTTTTATTATATGGTAGACATTGAAATTTTGCTATTCAGTCTAATTTTGTTGTCTATCTTTAAAGAATATTGGGCTTTGTTCTGAGAAACAATTAAGTTATATGCAGATCACCTTGATCTCTTCAAGGTGTGCAATTAACCTAGCTAAGGTATGTTTTGAGTAGACTTTACTTCAAGTATAGTACAGAACTAATAAGGCTAAAGTATGCTTACTGGGGCCTTCCAAAATTCTGATCTGTTTCCTTAATTTAGTGAGACTACTAGGCTTTGCATAGGTTTCTCTCCCTCTGACTACAGTGCAAAATTTACTCATCGGGAGAAAATCAGGTTAAACAGAGCTCAGCACTTTTGTTTCCTTTCTCTCAGATACTCCTGTGCTGTTCCTTTCCCAATGTCACCTACTATTTTAAGCAAATCTAAATCAAGTAGTCTTACATATTACAGGGTCCTTAAATTCTACATGCAAAGATAGATAAGCAAAGCAAAACTGAAGTAAAATTGGAAAGCAATGAGAGGATGGATTATACTAAACTAAGAGGAATGAGAAATTATAATACTGCAAAAAGGTTACTCACCTCTGACCACCACTAAGTTCAGTTAGGTTTTCTTTCCAAGTATTTCCTAAGGCAACCCTGAACTCCAGACCATCCAATACAGTTTGCCCTTCTGGAGGTGCAAGCGTAGCATTAGCACCAGGCAAAAGAGTAGAAAAAATAGACCCAAAATCCTTGTTTACCTGGATAAAAACAATACCAAAATATAAAAAGTTTTCCAAGAAGAATCAAAGGATTTGTGTATATGCAACCTAGCAGGTGCATTCTATTACTCTAACTCAGGGTTGGCAAATTACAGCCCATGTGACAAGGTCAGCCATGCCTTATGGCTGCCAGTGCTACAATAGTCTAATAGTTGCAACAAAGAGTATATGGCTCACAGAGCCAGAAATATTTATTATCTGTCCCTTCATAGAAATAGTTCTGCTGAGCTCTGCTCTAACTTCCAGGGAAAAGTAGAGGCTAAACTAACCCTACCCCAAAGCTTTGACATTTCTGAAGGCCAGGAATCCTCAGAGCCACACAAATGTGTAATATAGGAGACTGAACTTTCAGTTGGAGAAACAAAAACTCTTTTGGACATAAAACATTTTCTTATAAAACTTGTTTTCTGTTGACTGGTATGGTAACATAGGCCTATGGTTATAAACTGACCTTAAAAACCCAAAGAAGATCAGGGGAAGTCTAAGAAATCAAACCACCAGATCTGTTTATGGCATTGAGTGGTTCTTTCCTATATACTTTTTTCTCACGGCAAAAAAGTTAATGTGTTAACAGGAAGGATTGCACCCGAGAGAAAAAGGCCAAAGAAGCTGTTTGGCCTTATTCCCATCAAGTCATAGTAGATTACACAGAGATTTAGGAGCCAGTATTCTAGCTTGTAATCAGATAATCACTTGATCAATGATTTCAGAATTGGGCCATCTGTCATCAAAGACCTAACTAATATAATAACCTTAGTTCACATTTGAGAGTACACACACACATGAATTTAAGAGCCATTCTCTCTAGGGAAATCTCCAACTTCAAGTGCAAATATACATTTTATGAATATTTACAGTAATAAAGAATTTCTTAAATACAAGCAGTGCTCCTCAAACTAGATTTACTAAGGAATACATATTTTAATAGCAATGCACACATGCTGAGTAATACACTATACAGAGGAAACAGGATCTCATTTTACCTGTGATTTCCAGAGCTAGGTGAGGTTTATCACAATGGGGAGAGAGACCTCGGACTCTTTTGGGAAAGACGGAAGACAGCACTGTATTCAGAAAGACCCTAGGTTCTTTTCCTTTTCCTTCCCTATTCTCCTTTCTTTCCTCACCGCACCCCCGCCCCACATTTTTGGCCAGGCAGGAGAGAGGCAGCTCAGGACTAAGACAGTGGAATGCTACTAAACCCTGAACACGACCAGGGACTGCATGTGGAAATTTCTTCAAAAGAAAAAGAGAAAGATATCAGTTAATGGACAGAGAATATAACTCTATCCTAAATAGGAAATGAATTATATTCATGGGTAGGTATAACAATGAGGCTAAGCAGCAAACACAAAAATCCAATGCTTAAAATATTTGGGAATCAAGTATGCTTGAAGACAAAGGAAAGTATGTAATGCTGATGATAATTACACCTACCCTCATTAGGTTATTGTGAAGATTAAATGAGAATATGAGAATAGTGCTTGGCACATGAGCACTCAATAAATAAACCTGTTTTAGGAGAACTTTCGAAATTGGGGAAAAATCTGTTTAAAGATAACTCTACTTGCACTAAATCCAGGAACCATGGGGAATACAAGACAAAACCTTTCAGATCCAGTGTTAAACCACATATACAAGAATAATGGGGCCAACTTCTTGTATATATTTTTTTCAAAAGACAGACACATAGTACAGGGAGATGGAACTTGAAAATAAGTCACAGAGCAGGAAAAACAAGGTGACTAACAAGGATAATTGTGCTGCCATTACTGAAAATAATATTATTAAAAAATTAAAAAAGAGAAAAAGAGGCAAGGTGCCCAGTTACATCCCAGAGGCACAGGACTGTTAAACATGAATAGCACAGTAACTGCGGAATGTGAGTAAGTCTTTATGGCAGACACAGGAAAACTTCCACTTAGCAGGCTAAGGAATTATCCTAAAGGAGACCAATATGTGCAGCCAGGGAAGTTAGAAATAATAGTAAAGAACCTTGAATATGGCCGAATTGTCATAAAACAAAAATGGTAGTAAGGATTTCATTGTGTAAGAGTCTAGTAAAAGAATACCAAACTGCCTTGTTTATTGCCCTATTGTTAAAGAAGCAAAACAGGGTGACAGTAGTTAACAACAAAATGAAATTTTAACTATGGTTCTAATTTAGGAAAAGAGAATCCCAGTTTTCTACCTTTTGGCTATATGATCTTAGGCTGTTTCATCTTCCTCAGCTTTGGGTTCTTCATCTATAAAATAGGGATAATAACTACCAAAGTTACAGAATTGTTTTAAGAAAACTAATATAAAATAATTAACAGATCATTTAGTATATGTTTATAATTATTAATCTAATGTGTACAAAATGCTTGCAGAAAACCCATGGAATGTGTAATAATTATGAATTCTGAGGGGCTATTAATAATTTATGAGTGGTAAGGAAAACGCCAATCCTGCTGTAGACATAGTTTTTTAGAACATCTGACCTTCGTGAACCTAGGAATGAGAAACTGAGGAGGTCAGAACTAACGGGGTCCTTGGGAGAGGTGTTCCAGCAATCAGAGCTTCCCCAACAGGAAGGGGATAGTGCTTCCAGTTTCAAGTAGAGGGTCAGCAGGTACAGTACATACTGGACAATAAGTAAGGGCCTCTGATCTCTTGGGAAGGAAAGTGGCAAGCAAGTAATGTCCCCTTTAAAGGTAACACAGACCTCTTAAGTAAGAATGAAAAATGGAACCTGAGAAGTAGAACCTATGAAAGTATGATGGAGTGACACAAACTTACCTTTGCAAATGGTCAGTAACCAAGTCCAAAAGGACAAAATGTATTTAAAAGTCTATGAGGTTTTAATTAAGGTATGAACACGTGACTCATTCACACACAAATTAGCCATTTCAAATTCATCTCAGAGTATAAACCTATTGACAATATTCTTCACCCTTGCCTCCTAAAGATTAAACAATAACATTTTTTATACAAATACCTTTTGCCATGCAATATTTAAGGCTTGGTTTTTCTTCTGGTCAAGGTCTTCTATAGTTGCAAGGATTTTGGATTTGTCATTTTCTACAATTCTCTTTTTTTTCATCAAGTCATTATACTGGCAAGATAAAAAGCACATTTAATTGGGAAAATAAAAATTTTCCTAAGGTCCTAGAATTCAATCAGGAATAAAAGGGTTACATTATTTTTATATATAATATATATATTCCTATTTACCAAAGATATACTGCATTAAGAGTTATAATGTAAGCCACATTATGAGGAAAGTAAATGTATCATCTATGTCAAATTCAATTACTATAATTGATAATTTATATGGCAAGCTCCAGAAATATTTTGCCTGCACTAATATTCTATTATCTTCCTAGCTACTAAGGCAAAAAGGAAAGTGTGTCAGATGTAACCTCAAAAGTAGTCCCACGTGCCTTCTTCTTAAGGTTAGGCTTAGCAACAAAACAAAGAAAATTTCAATTCTTCACCATGATGTAAAAAGTCCTACATAATTTGGCCCTCATTTATATCTTTTTCCCATCATATTCCTTCTGGTCTGTTTTCAGTTCCTTGAATGTTTTAAGCTTACCGTAGCCTTATAGCCCCTGCATTGTTCTCTCTTCCTGGAACATTCTGACATAACTGGTGCCTCAAACTGCAGCTCAAGAGTCACACCTTCAGAGTGGCCTTCCCTTCCCTGATGTAGGATGCCACTGAAAACATTTTTGATGGGCTGCAGAGGGCTAAGCATACTAGGCGTAACAGCAGAACTTTCTAAACATCCTCTTCAAAGCCTCACATTTCAAAGGAGGCTTCAAATTCTGCCTTAAAAACTCCTGCTAGCTATATTGCTGTCCTTTCTTCTTTATAGCCAACCTCCTAAAACCTCCTCCCCACATTTTTATCTATTTGTTGTATAATCCCATGTAGTTTCTTATGTGGCAATGACACAATAGAGCAAAAAGACAAGACCGTCTGCTGATCAACACTAGAGCTTTTGTCTCTTGTTAGGAGATAGGAGTTGGTGAATTTTTTAGACCCAGTTGTCATTATCTAATAAAAGCAAACAAGTAAAAACAAACAAGTTTCATGATGGAATGCAGCTCAAATCAAATGAAAAATTCTCTTCCATAAATATGCCATATTTTGCAAAGCTTTGATGGAGAAATGAAAACCAGAAGGAATATTTCATAGTGTGATCACAAGTGCATTACTGTCTGTTTAGTATCATAATATAGATTCTTTGTAGATATTAATGTCAGTAACAGTTCAAAGAACCCATTACAATAGAATTTCTCAAAAGTAATGGAGCTCATAGTATTATTTCTATAGAGCTCTCATTAACTCTATCATGCAAATTCAAATAGAATTTTGTGGAATTAAAGGTACAAGGCATGATAAAACATTGTTCAGACTGCTACTGCCTATGGGACTGTCACAAATAGGAATTGATTTCCCCTCTGGATTTTTCTAGTGACATGGCAGAGTTTAAAAGTTTTATCAGGGTAGGGGAGATGGGTAACATCAAGCCGAGAACTCAGAGTATTAAAACAGATGATGCTGCTGGGTTTGGAGATTAGTAAAACTAACAACAAGTTTAGTTATTGCTTATATAATAATAGTTTTAGTACACATGAGAGTCTAAAGGAAGACCGTAGTTACGGAGAGATTGGTAAGGTAGACAGAGTACATCCTATTTTTCAAAGCCTTTGAAGTCAAGTAAAAGAAATGACAGAAATGTGAGGAATTAACATGATCAGAAAAGTGTTCTTATTATTTACACCAAGAATAAGAAAAAGGTAGAATATGCTTATGGCAAAGCTGATAGAAAAGTAATTAAAGGTCCAACACATAAACAAATGATAATGCAAAAATACTGAAATAAGAAATGAAAAGGGAGAAAAGCAAAACCGAAAGCCAGCCAATGTGAAAGACTTCAAGCAGAAGACTGGCTCTCACCACCTCAGGCTGACACAGAGCCGACCTCCTCCTGCTCTCAAGCGGCCAGTCTTAGGAAAATGACTTACCCGCTCTTCAGCCTCTGTTAGTACGCTCATAGCTCTCATGTTGACATTTCTTCCTAGTTTCTCCTTCATTTCTTGTAACTTCTGAAGTCTCTGGCCAGCTTCTTTGGGGTTGTTAGTTTTGAAATCATAGGCACTACTGGGTTGCCCAAAGAGGTGTTTCTCTGCATTAATCCAGTCATAGTCTTTCAACATTTTGAATACCTAGTCACATAGGATAAATATGGAAGGATCTATCATTGCTTACAAATCTACATTTAAAACCAATTTTATAAAATATTTACTAAATTTAATTAAAACATTTTGGAGAAAAACCCCTCAATGACTCATTTGAAAAAAGTTCACTGGCAACAACAGTGAACCTATAATAACTAAATATTTTTACCTGGAGGATAGGTTCACAAAACAAGATTATACAGAGAAAAATCTTCCTATTTCTTAGGCATTTGAAGAGGCAACTCAGAGAAATTTCTACAAAGTATATGTGAAACCACCCATAAGTCAGATGAGACTCCTTCAGATTTACCTAACTCAATCTATTGCCTCAAAAAACTTGTGAAAGTTAAAATTCTTATAGGAATACTTAAGTCACAGATCTGGCAAAACTGTGGAAGCTTAATCAACTGAAAACTCATAATTCTCACTATTATAATTAAATAAAAACTATCCTAAGCATTGACTCTATTCCCCTCTACCCTCTTTGACATGGCACAGTAAAAAGCTTCTTCATATAACCAATTAAAAACTTAAACTTAGAGAGCTTAAGGAAATCTTTCTTCTACTCAATTGTTTAAGATTATTTCTACTGGTAGAATCTAATGCTGGTCAATTTGTATATCCTTATTAATTCCATGGGTATGGTCTTACCTCTAGGCTCCAAGTAGAACAACCATTTCTAGGCTATCTTCCCTGCTCACCTGTAAGCTCTATGAAGGCATTCTGTGTACACAATGCTCATCCTTGTATCTTTAGTGCCTGGCATAGTATCTGATACTAGTCAACGTGCAATAAATAATTGATAAACTATGCACTTAAAGAATCCTTGATTTTTTAGCAGTTCTACCTACAAGTTCCTCTTTGAACCTCCTTAACTGGGAACAAAATCCCCTAGTGATCACCAATACAACATTTTTAATTACCAAAGAACTAATAATAGTAACACTGGTAATATTTCTATGAATCCACTAAAACGAGGCTACCAGGTCAATGGCAAATCAATATTAATACAATGTTTGGGTACTATGATGTGACCATTAACAAAAATATTTTTAAAACCAAGTAATGAACCTGAATAGGCATTCATGGTTCTTTCAGAGGGTGGGAGACTGTTTTGTATTTTCTGATCTTTTTTGAAGTTAACTCTCTTGCACTTTTATGATGCCAAAAAAAACGTATAAGGGACCAAACTGGTAGAGCCCATAAGAAAACAGGATAGATGTTATTATTGAGACCAGAATGCAGCTTCTTAACCATGCAAGGAATATCTGCAAAAGCATGTATTCTCCCTTAAGTACTTAAGGCAATGTGATACATGAAAGCAAGAAACCTTAAGAGTGACCAAAAGCTACAGGATAACTTCAAAAAGATAACTGCTTGGCAAAACATATTTCAGATGAGGCTGCAAAAAATCAACTGTACTAATCCTCCTAACGACATCCAGAAATCAATTAAGTCCCTATTTTGGAAGCTGTTTATATATATATTTTTGTGAGTTCTTTAAATTCAATCTGAAATAAGATAAAGAATATATATTATTACTACAATACATTAGCAAAAATTCTATGAACATCTGGGGATAAAAGAGTCAGTTCCATGGTATACCATTAAATATTTGGCAAAAATATCTTATAGATGGGAATAAATACCTGAAATCTAAAAACAAAACATTTGTGCTGATGAAAATTAGCATTTCTGAGAATCAGTTAACATAGCTATAAGCCTTAAAATTGTGTTACACAGTGGTTCTGTCATGTACACTGAGTTGTATATCGAGCAGTTTACCAAAGTATTTCAGCAACCCAAACACAAACATTTGATTGACGGTAAAAATGAACAACACAAACATGCCTTTGCAGCAGCATCTTCAGCTTCCCGTTTATGTTTACTGATATTGTGATCCAGTTCCTTAAGTTTAAGCTGAGAATTACTGTTTTGTTCCTTATGTTTTGCCACTTCTACATATTTAGCTTTAATTACACTGTCTTGGGCTGTTATCACTTCTTTTTGTTTGGTCACCTCTTCCTGAGCTTTATTCACTGACTCCTGTAACAAATAATTAGAAGACAAGATATAGCAAGATAATATGGAGGTACTTAAGTTTATTAGAATATCATCTAGCAGACTCTGCGCAAGATGGTCATGTGATTATAGGCAGATGGTGACCTAATCCTCTGCATTCTATATCCCCATTAAGCTGACTAATGAATTCACACACAGCAGAGAGCTTGTATTACCAGTGGGAAAAGGAGACAGGAGTGTTCATGCTGGAAGCAATTAAGTTTCTGCTGGATACAGTGTAGCTGACTGGGGGAAGACTAGAGCCTGACCTGTGAGGATCTCAGGAAAGTGGCATTTCAATAGGAAGATAATCTGACAGACCCCAAAAGTACATTTTTCAGGAGGGGCAAAGAATAGCAGCAGGCTAGGCTGGGCTGTGCTGCTCTTCCTGTCTCTAGAGGTCAGCCATATGGACTTTAGAAGTGGCAGTGGAAGGTCACAGTATTGGATTCTAGTGCAAAACTGAGCAACAGAATAAGAAAAACTTTTGAGAAAATAGGTCTGTGGGACAAAGGAAAACTTTCTTGCTGACTTTACTATCCCCCTACCTCCCCAGATTGAACCTTGGATTAACCTCCAAAATGGTAATTACAACTGAAATTCAGTCTACAACCAGCTCCTTTGCTTCATCCTAAATGTTAAAAAAGTCACACAAATGTCTAAAAACAAAACAACAACAAAAAAAACTCTAGCGCAATTCCTATTAAGTAGGGGGAAAACAAATAGGACAACCTGCTAAAAGACCCTGAGGAAGAATAGGTCTCGATAAGTGATCAAAAGCATAGCAAAAAAATTAGCAAACAGGTAATCATGTGCAATACAGAATACTTGACATTATGGTTAGGTTACTGATGTACCCATAGTGCTTTAATTGCCTTATATAGTTCAGTTTGTGTCATCAGAGAAGGTCTTTTACAGGAGGAGAATAAATCATGGCATTCACCTAAAAAAACCCAAAGATATTTAGCTTTTTAAAACCTTTGATGAAGAAAAGGAAAAAGAACAGACATAAGGTTTATTAATTAACACTGTGACAAAAACATGTTCATGAAGAAGATTCTCTCATTTCTAGTGGTTAAAGACTGCATTGCAGGTGTGACTGTAATAACACAGGGACTCTGTCACTTAGACTGAGTAGAAATGAAATTTTAGTTTTGTCTGAGCCTAATTCATAAGTAGGCAGTTTCTTTTCTAAGCTCCCTGGGAGTGTTCTTAGATATTTAGATACGCTTATCAGCAAAGGGAAACAATTTAGAATGTAAAGCCTGAAAGAACAGCCTTTAAAAATCAAATGATCCATTTATAGTTTCCCATAAAGAGAAAAAAATGAATGCTCTCTTTATAGAAGAGTGTACATGTTTTGATTTTATCTTTATTTAGATTAAGGAAGGAATGGTTTATTTTATTTTTACATTTCTCTTTAGAAAACTATTGGAATTTTTTAAAATTCCACAACATGAAAGACACAGAAAATATGGAGTAATGAGATGAAAAATGTAAGATTAAAGACAACAAATCAGAAGGAAACTAAAAATGTTTTTAAACTAAAATTTATGTTGGAGACAAAATAGAGGCAGAAATTAGAAAATTTAATCAGCAACACAAAATGCAAAGTTGAGGAGAATTTGATCCCTTATCTTCAAGAAAATAGAAAAAACTGTTAGATTTGATTGTGTTAAAAAAGAAAACCTTGAACTACAAATAGAATCAAGAGGAAAGAACTAATTTTCAAAACGCTATATGCTACAACTACTAAAACAATCATTTCAAGGGAAAACTTAACAGAAAATATAGAAGTAGATGAGAAAAGCAAAGAAGTACTATGATGCAGGTAAATGAATGGAACTCCCCTGTCAAAAGCTGTATACACAGTTAACATGAAAATTAATGATGTATGCTGCTTACAAAAATGGTATCTATAGCAACATGACAGAAAACTTAAAAAAATGAGTTATGTCACAAAATGAGAAGTAGGTACACTTTTCCGATTATGGTCAGTAATACTGTATTGCTAAGAGAATAATCTTAAAAGTTTTCATCACAAGAGAAAATTTATGTATGATGACAGATATGAACTAGACTTATCAGCCATCATTTGGCAATTTACACTAATACTGAACCATTACATTGTATAATTCAAATTAATGTGCCAATCATACCTCAAGAAAAAAGTTAGGAATAGAAGTAACATGGAACAGAACAATTAAATGTCAAAATCGAAGAAAGAGACAAGAGGGTATCCAATTTCATAAGGGACAATCTCTAATAGACATACCACAACATTAATTTGCAGTAACAGAATGCTTTTATAACATTTGAAACTCCCATAGCTCCAAACTCAACCTTCACATGGCCTGCTTCTGATACCAGAACATTTCTTCCCTCACCAGCTATAATGCCATTAACCCTTAGTAAAGGATGCTGTAGGGACACTGTAGAAGCCTTAACTTCCTGGTTCCAGTGTGCTTTTCTCAAAGGCAAGCTTGACATGTGCAAAGGCTAGCAGCCAACACGGCTTCCCCTGGCATCCTGCTTTTGCTGGGCTGAAGGGGAGCTTGACAACATGTTCACAGGCTGGGCACCTTTCCATGGCCAGTTTCCCTGGCATCCCAAAAAGCTATTTCCTAGCAAGGGCTGCCCATGTGGCACAGCAAACTTCACCACCAGTGGGCCAGTTACGTCTCCTCCAACGAGATCTGGTTCTCAGCCCTGCGGGCAGAATGGAGCTCTTTTACAGATTTGTTCTTCCATGGGACACCACCTCAGCCCTATAGGTAATGGCTGTTTCCTGTATGTGCTGTTCCTATATTCTTTAGAGTTCTCTTTATTCCTTAGTGATCAGTCCTGTATCATTCCAATCTCCTATTATAGTTAATATTTTATCTAACTTTTGCCCATCCAAATTACTGTGATTTGTCTTCTAAATAGACTCAGACTAAAATGATTAGTAATATTATTTCAGAACTCTGACTGAATTGGCGATCATTTTTGCCTCTTGTGACATGAGTGAAGAAATCAAGACCTCCAAAGTCAGATATCTTCAAGCCAACTTTTCCAATATTAAGTAACTCTTACCTTACTTTTAGCCACCTCAGTTGCCATTACTTTGATCTGACCTTCATAAGATTTGATAGCTTCATTTACAGCTTCAAGCTGCTGTTTATAGGATATGTGCTCTCTCTTGAGCTCTTCTAGCTCCAGGGTGATAGCTTCAACTTCCTATAAGAAACACAGAATCAACATTCAACCAGTTACTAACTGCTGAAAATACATATGTCAACAAAATTGGTTAAGATTCTCATGTAAGACTTATAGCTTAGTTATTCAAATACCAAAAACACAGGTAAAATGCTTATCCAAGGGGAAATTTATTCTTCTGTACTTAAAAAAAATAATGACACATGTATGCACAGTTTTTATAGGTTCAAAGAACTCTGCATAAAGCAATTTCCTTTATCTTTTTATTTATGGGGAAAAACAATATAGAATTCTACATAACAGATAAATTAGCAGAGGTAAAGCCTTTTTTATAAAAAACATTATTCAATTTAGAAAAAATTACTTTCACAATTTTCCTCCTTCCCATTATAGACTAATTCATTAGAAAACACTGTGCAGCTATTTAATAACAGGCAGGTCAAAAATAAAAATAAAAACTATGAAGAAAAGTAAACAAACATAAGTGAAGTTGTGTAGAACAGCTTTTTCAGAGCATAGCCTTTGGAGACAGAAAAACCTAGGTTCAAATTCTAGCTTTGGCACTATCCAAAAGATACCATCAGGTATCACCAGTCTGTAAGTGAATGACACTTTGTAAATATAACATGCTTTGTCACACATCATTCTTTCACAGCATACATCCACATAGATGAATGTATTCTGTTCACTACTTAAGTAGAAAAGTCAACACTGAACCTCTGATATGATAGAGCTCTGCCCTGTGGTAATCAGCTTTGGTCAACTCTTGAATGAAGCATTTACCAAAAGGCAACGTTGCTCTTTCTCTAAAATTAGCAAGCCAATGCAACACACACACAATTATATAACAATTAAGGTGTATTTTTATTTTATGTATAGGATGTGGAATTTATTTCCTAAAGAAGCCACATCTCACTTTTAGATTTTGTGATGAATACTGATGAATAAGGTCAACTAATGATGCTCTACCATCTTCAGCTCTATGTTGACAGTAAAAGATGATTTCCATTTTAAGAAAGGTTACCTGTTGTTTTTCTTTCATTTTCTTGCTAGAAGCATCTGCTTTTGTTTTGGCACAATCCAGTTTTTTCTGAGCATCCTTTAGTTCTCTCTCTCGTTCAGCTTCTGCATTTTTCATTTTATTCTCCAATACTTCGTATTTTTCTTCTGCCTTTTTTTGAATTTCTTTGGTGTTTTTTAAGGTCTCCTCACTTTCCTCTGCATTATAAAGTAGGCACATGTAGGTAAATGAGGTCCTCCAAATAATAACCACTATAGAATAATAGCTTGTAAATTCAACTTTTAATACTAGAAATGGTCTGGAAAGTTAGACTAGAGTTTAAAAAAATTAATTGTTCCAGCCTTATTCTAGAAATTGTATGTTGAAACACACATCGTTCCTAAGATCCATATGTGAATTATCTAAACATCTATAAAGAAATTTTTACCGATCATATAAAATTGAGTAACAGAAACTTTACCTACAACTGTTTCTTTAACACAGCTGTATGGTTCCTAAAACCTGAACCAAGAGCATAAGTTATTTTTCCTTTTAGTTTCCAGAAAGCTTACAATTAATTTCATAAACAAGTTTATGTTATACTCTTTACTCAGTAATTTTTACTCAAAGAACCTCTATAAATAGAGAAGTATTCTAAGAACATGTCTAGGATGACTCATAAGACATATATTGTCTCTAAACTTATCAAGAAAAAATTTAAAAAGCAAGACACAATTCTGATCATGTTACTGTCACAACTGACATACACCGTTAATGTTAGGACCTAGGTACAAATATAATAAAGCCATGACTGCACAATTTCCTAGAAATAATTCTCATTGCAAGCAATCAAAACATATCTTGAAACAAACAAAAACAGAAATAAAAATAACAAAACTTATGGGATTAGCAAAAGTTCTAAGCGGAAAGTTATTTCCCAACAACAAAAGCTTACATGAAGAAACAAGCAAAATCTGAAATAAAAAACTTTACACCTTAAGGAACGAGAAAAAGGAGAACAAACAAAGCCGAGAGAGGAAATCTTACCGTTTGCAACAACACAGATATGTTTCGAGGGCACTGTGCTGACATAAGTCAGACAGAGAAAGACAAATACTGTATGGTATCATTTGTATGTGGAATTTTAACCAATTTAAAGAACAAACAAACCCAAGCTCATAGAAACAAAGAACAGTAATAGTTGCAAGAGCCAGGGGTGGAGAGTAAGAGAAATGCATGAATTTTTAATTTATAAAAGAGAAAAAAGAAAAAAAATATTAGCAGGGGAAAAAGGTATGTGAATATTGTCCTAAGGAACAAAAAAACCTAAAATTACCATTTACAATTAAATTCTGATTAAAGTGTAAGATAGGTTCTTAAAATAAGAGACATAGCTAGCTATAAATTCAATTACATTAAACATTGAAAATTTCTGTATAACAAAACTACCATAAACATAAACAAAATTAAAAGACAAGCACATAAACCAAAAGATATTTGTAATTCAGATAACCTGTAAGTAATCAGAACTCCTAAGTATGAGAATAATAAGCAAACCAAGAGAAAAATGGGCCAAAGAAATAAAGAGAAAATCACAGTAGAAACTGAAAGGTCCAAGGAACATACAAAAAGGTCCCAAAGGTTATCAGCATTTATGGAAATGAAACTAAAATGCTAATGCACTATCTCGTCACAACAGTAAGACAGGAGCACTTTAAAAGTCTGGAAAGTTAAGGATTTGGAGAAATGAGAACTCTCATATGCCACTAGAGGAAATGTGTATTGCTACAAATGGGAAGAACATGGCAATATAATAATGATTAAAATAAACAGCTAAGATTATTAATTCAAATAAATACATAATGAAACACCGAAAATAAGGTTATCAGGAACAAATTAAGCACAGAATCTTTTTATCTTACCAATGATTTTCTTAAGAGCATCTAATTCTTCTTGTTGTTTGTGGTATGAGCTTTGCTGGAGTTTGGTTTGTAATATATCTGCCTCCTCAGTTTTCATCTCCCACTGCTGTTTTAGTTGGCGATACCTTAGGAAAGAGAAGTTTATAATAAATGACCACAGTTTTTCTGATGTTTGAGACATGCATTCAAACTATAGGCTCCTACCTAAAATCAACTCACATACTATATAAAAAATAGAAGATGCCACTAGATTACAAGAATAGTTTCAAAGACTCTAAATGCATCTCAGGCATCAATTAAATTCAGGTCTGATTTGGTCACTGAAAGCAAACAACTCTAAATTACCAAGATCAATAATAACTATTTATGGAGAAATGCTCTTAATTTTAGAAAATACTAAAAACCTTTGAATACATAGGTTTCCTTAAAAATAAACCCTCCTAGTGATCCTTATCAAAAGTAAACTCCATAGTTACCCATAACAAAAACAGATTAATAAAACAATTACACAAAATTTCAAAATTTGATTAATCCCCATTTCAAATTAAAAAAAAAAAAGCCTACATTTGTGGTGAAACTGATAGTTTGAAAAGGAAGAGTACTGAACTTAACATTTGCAATCCACTTTTCCTGCAAATCCTGTAATTCTACTCCATTTCTGGCTGTTTAAAGTTATTTCTTTGGAAGGTAATTAGCTAATTAAGCTGTAGTGAATTTCAAGTCATAATAAATTCATAAGGTAGCTTGTCACTAGAAATTTATGACTTGAGAAAAAATAAGGAAGCAACTTATAAATACTTCCTTGAGTATTCCTGCCTGGACTGTTTAACAGCAATTGGAACCATAATTTTCAAAGCATTTTTCAATTCATTTAAAATGCAGTATATAGACATTTGGAAAAAAAAAAGATATAAATCATTTTCCTGATTCAGTCCATGAAAGAATGGCTTTAGTTGACCCTCCCCACTCCCATAGTTTTCAAAATCTATTTCCTTTCTTTGATCTTAATATATAAGGCAATTCTCCAAAACAAATGATCTAATACTGCTGAACAAAGTTAACTGTCTAAGGCCAGTATGACTACAAGCCCCACTACCTTGGCCAGAGCTTTGATGTATCTCAGAGAAATTTTGTTTCATCTTTCTCACAGAAAAAGTTCACTCACTTTATGATTAATTTACGCTAATGAATGTAAGGTGCACGTTTTTACAAGTACATGAAATCTGAAAGTGGGTATTTTGATATAATTTATATCTTGGATGGCCAATTGACTGATTATGATACGCTCTTCCATATATGTGATGTCTCAAAAAAGACTAAGCTTTGATAATTTCTGAAGATGAATGTCAAAAAATCACCTCAAATGAATATATTAAAGTCATCTTCTCAGTGAGGCTTTTTCCTGGCCAATCTGAAATTTCAAAATCTCATTGCCCTGGATAGTTCCCAACTACTTTCCTATTTTATTTTCTTCTTCTTAGACTTAGCAGTATTTACTAACTTAATATTCTTTGTTGTCTGTTTCCCTAACTATATGAAAAGATGAAAGAAGAGATTTATCTGTTTGACTCACTGCAATTCCCAACTCCTAGAAGAGTACTCAGCACAGGCTACTCAATAGTGAATAATGTTAAGTGACGAACAGAGGCTACATTAAGTAGCATGATCCCAATAAAAAAAATGCATATGTACCTGTATCATAAACACACAGAAGTAATTTTGAAGGTACACATCCATACCTGTATCAACACCCACACAGAAGAATCACTGTAGTAAGGAAACACTTAAATTTTGGCAGTGCCATGAACTTGCTTGCCTCCTCCATAGGCAACCTAGTGATCTTTAATATTTAAAGGAGAGCCACAATGCTGCTTAACTTAGTGTAGACCCCCCTAAGAATGAATGCTATACTGTATCAAATCAAGACTTTAATATCCTTTGGTATCAACCTCCAATGAGTCTCCAACATTTCCACCCACACATAATGGTTTTCCACTGATCCAAGCAAATGTTAAATCTATCTCAACAGGGAAAGGGGAATATTTGGCTTTTTTTTTCCCTTTTGTTAATTAGCTTTCCCTGTATTATTATAACAAAGACATTTTTATCAGAAAAAAAATGGATAAATGATAAAGAAGTTACCAACTCACAAATTATTCAAATTAAACCAAGGATATTATTATTCAAAGTCAAAGTTTTATTTCTTAAATGAAAGTCAATTTTCTTTCATTTTTTTTACTATGCAGATCTTTACTCAAAAAAACTTAAAAATATGGCTTAACACAACAGAAGTCTTACTTTTCAGCAGTGTTTTTAAGACTTGCTAATTCTTCTTCTAAAGCTTGTAGCTCATTCTCCTTGATTCTCAGCTCATCTTGAACATCTTTAAGTTCTTGAAACTTAGTTAAAATAGAAGCTGCCTGGGACCGAGCACCTGGTAGATTGAAACAGGTCTTGGACAATAAGTTACCACATAGTAATAAACTAAAAGCTTTCTAAGAGACTTGCACTTGAAATGATTCAATAGCAAATCTCTCATGGTTAAAGCTATGTTTCATCTGTGCATCTTAGGACATCATACTTGATAAGAAGTAATCCTAAGTAGATGTGGTAGACTGCTTATTTAAAATAATCACTGATCCTACCTATGGGACCCATCCCTCCAAGGTCCATTTTCCTCCCCACTATTATCAGGCTTAGCCATGTGATTTTACTATAATAAAAGGGGAATGAATGTGCCTCTTCTGAAAGTGAGCTTTAACAGGCAACACGTTAAGTCACCATTTGTTTTCCCTTTCCCATGAGAAAAGTATGTTCAAAATAGGGACTATTCTTCTTTCATCCTGGTCCCAGAATAACAATGGAACAGAGACAACTGACAGTTAATGTAGCATAATTATGGAATGAACTCATAAGCCACTGAGCTTGAGGGCTGTTTCTTTTCACATCATAACCTGGTTTACACACTGATACAGCAGCATAAGCAGAGTAAATTGGTTTGGCTTAACAAGCAACTATAATTGTCAAGTAACAGGCTGAGGTGTTAGGTTGGCAAGAAAACTCTATAGGTTTGGTGAGAAAATACAAAGGTCAATCAGAAATGCTAATATGGGCACTTCGTTAATATGGTATGGGGTTACATATGTGCCAATCCCTTAAGGACGAACTTCAAGAATATCCAAATTAATGAAATCTGAAAAGTTTCCTCTGTTTTTAGTTATTTAAAAATATGTGGCCTCTCTTTACCTTCCAATTACACATACTAATTACTGTGTACTGGAGAAGTTAATACTTGATCATGGAATTCATTTTGATGGCTATTGTTTTCTTGGCCTAGAAAGAAATTAAGTGACTTATCTCATGAGGCATTATGAAGCCTTTTGGTTTGACTGAAAACAAATTCTGAAATCAGACTTCTTTCTGAATTCAAATTCTGAGCTTTAATACTTACCTGCATGTTATTTAAACTAGTCTGTACCTTAGTTCTACAACTGTACTAAAGATAATGGTAATATGCCCACCACATAGTTGCTATACGGATTGAATGAGTTAATTTTTTAAAGCCCTGGGCTATATAGAAAGATAAAAATGTTCTGTATCTGCATTGTCCAATTATCCATTAACCATTTGTGGTTAATGAATTCTTCAAATTTGACTGGTCCAACTGAGAAAATTCTTTTTATCTGAGTTAAATATAAGAGCCACATGTGGCTAGTGACTACTGACTTGGATAGCAGAATTTTACAACACTGCCTGGTACACAGTAAGTACTGTATTTCAGTGTTTGTTATGACATGGTCACTTGACACTGATCTGGAAACTCAATGTAGCAAATATCAGAAGAAAAATATAATCATTATCTAAGAATTGCTTTCTTAAGGTATTAAATCCACTACTTCCTATTAAAAAAAAACACATCATCATACAGCATAGAATTGTGAGAACAAAACTGATGTAAAACCTACCTCCACTCAATGTCCCATGAGGATCAAATACATCACCTCCTAGAGTTACAGTTCTAGTCATAATCCTTTTATCAAAAGCCACTTTTTTTGCATTATCCATATTGTCACAAACAAATGTTGTTCCAAAGACAAATTCCATTGCTTTTTGAAGTTCTGGTTTGTATTTAACCAAGGAAAGAGCCACATGAACATTGTTAGAGCCAACCTGTGGGAAAACAACAGATATAATAAATACTATCCCTTTCTTTCAAATACTATTTTACAAAATAGTAAAAACTGCTATGGAAGAAATTGAAGTAATACTTATCTAGAATTATAATTCCTTTTGAACTTTCTAAAATGCTTTGGAAAACTCAAGAGTTTTAGGAAAAAAACAGTTTCAGGTTTAAACATTAAAAGATCTACTGTTAAGTAAAATATATAGCTAACAGGGATTATCAGAGTTTCTGTCATGCAGGAGCCACCACCAAGTTTCTAAATCTAAAATGGACAATATGGACACACTTTCTTAAAGTACAGCAATTGTTAAATCAACACAATTTATAAAATGTTTTGTTTTAGTTGTTAATTTCATTCCACAGTGAATACTTTTTTAATTCAAACTGAACATACTAGGGCAGCTACATACAAGTTACAGAAATAAAAGCACAACCAATTATTGATTAAAAATAATACAAAAATACCTCAGTCCTTTATTTTGATCCAATTGTCTCTTCTCAACCTCTGCCCATCTTTTTAGAACTAAGCATCCTTTATATAGCTTACAGCAGCAGAAATCAAAATGAAGGCAGCTCTATATGACACAAGTTCAGTACTGTCCTCTGACACAGCAGCTATTAAATGGGTCTGGTTAAGGGATCTAGGTAGAAATTATCTTTGCTGTTACCTTAAATCCCAATTTACTTCTAACACTGGGATGTGACCTAAGGCTGATGTTACTTTCAAAGCCTTCTAGACCCAAATGTGATTTTCCAAAATAAAGGAAGTCTAATGAAAAATACCCCCTTGAATTATTCTGCACTCATCTTTCTTCTCCTAATAATATATATATCAATACAACTGTATTTTGAAATAAGTTTCATTGAAGGCTCTGAATTTCAGCAAGTACACTGAACATCCATTTAGTTATCTTAATTACAAATGCATTTCTAGGTTTCACAGAACTGACATTTTAACCCAAGCACTTGGAATGCCTGCTTGATAAGAAACTGATAGTGAATGTTATGACTGGCTTATTTTTACCCAATTTTATACAGCCACAACAGCCATTTAAAAGCATTTCTTTGTATTAGCAGATCGACTTTAGGCGGGATATCCCAGTCACCTGCACTGTATGTCCCTAGGTTGGAAGGCAATCTGAAAGAACTCTAAAGGAGAAGCAAATCTGCAAACCAGACCTTCCACCATGGTTGTCACTGTGGGCAGCTTAAGTGTGCCTGGCATGAAAAACATTGACAAATTATGGTATTTATGTACAACTCTATAATTCTAACTATTCATAAATCAGAAATTTAATATTTACTACCACCTGATAGTCATGTGACTTAAGGCTTAAAGACATTCTAATACTACAACTTTGAAATAGCTAAGTGAGTTTTAGTCCTCCAATATTTCTCTTCTCTTTCCATCTAATTTCAGAAAAGCCAACTCTATTTTTCTTTTGTATCTTAATTTTTTTAAGCATGGTAACAATACAATTTTGTGGCCCTGCATGTGATTGTTCCCTTTAAATTAATGTCTCCTAATTTAAAAAAAAGTAAGATTCAGATAAAGCATATAAATAAGACTTACAAGACTCTGAGCAACTCTCAAAGTTTCTGGAGCAATACATCTGGCTGAAATTTTATTGAGTGGAATTATAGTGTACCGACGCTTCAATTCCCCCTTTTCTAGTAGCTTTTTTCCAGTGACCTAAAACATTGTGAATTTGCAATAAAACATTAATGATGACAGAAAACATCCAAATGGAAATACTCCAAGTTTAGGAAACCATAATCAAATAAATGTTTAAACAGTGACTACTATTCTGAACAATCAAAAGTCTTAAGATTGATAATATGCATTCTGGGTTCCTGAGTAAGTATGAGACTTCCTCTGGAATAGTTTATCAAATATAATCATTAATAAAATAAAAACCATTAATTGAATAGTTTCACCCTGTAAAGATAAGCAACTTTAGGAAAAGCTTAAAACATCTATGAAAGTACCCAATTCTTCCAGCAGCCCATAATTTTTCAAGCTAAAGATCATTACACATTTTATTTAATTAAAATCAATTTACCTCTGTGTCTACTACAACATTGTACAGTCGTTCCCCAGCCACCAATTCTAAAGCTGTGGTTGCAGAAGTATCTTTCACACTAATCAGAGAAGCTACAAGTCCTTTCACACAATTTCTATTCCAGTGCTTCTCTGGATCCCTAAAAAAGAAAAGTTGACAAAAATTAATCATAGATATGAAAATAGAAAAGTTGTATTTTACTGGTGGTCAAAAGCTCTTTCTGACAACACATGAGATTGAAAACAGAAAAATCACACAGTTTTAACATAAAAAAAAATTTTAAATGTCTCGAACGACTAGTCAGCTATTTTTAAATCAATCAAAAGATCTTCCAGTATATGTTTTTCCTTAACAAAAATAACTTTGATGTTCTGATCTTTTAATACATGTATTGCTCTATTCCATGAAAAAAAAAACAAGTAGTAAAACAAATTATAAAACGTTAATGTTGATATTTAACATTAATGACAGAATAACTAAAGAAACTGTACTGAGATTAAATTTCCCTCTTGTTGGTCTTAAGACAGTAGCATTAGTAGCCATTAAATTTCATAAGAATTTTCTCTATCAACATTTGAACATTTTGATAAACATTTAAGTAAAGCATTTCAGCAACTTACAATAATTTTCATACAAAACTCAGTGTCAATTAAATTTTCAGACTGCCTTCCAGCTTAAAAACACTTATTACATAATGTTAAAATTTAAGGTTTAAATATCTTACTTGTAAGCAAATCGAAGATTGGGAAATTTGGCCAAAAGAGCTTCATATGTTTCTTTCAATCTACTGATATCACGAGAGAGCTGCCTGCGCTTTTCCAGATGGCTTTCTTCCTTGTTTTCTGAACAATCACAAGTAAATTGAAACTAAGTTTTAAAAAATAAAATACTCTATGCTCTCTTACAACACTAAACTATGTTTTCTACCTTTATCTTGCATCTACCTACCACTTCAGCATTTTATTAAAAATAAACATAATAATAATAATAAAGGGAGAAATGCAGGATCTACATATAAATCAAGTATACAAATCAAACGAATATTCATATTTGACCTGATTGTTTATAGTTCATAATGCGTGATCAAAACTGAACGTTTCTGTGATGACTGCCCTTGTACTGTTCACCATGTAAGAACTTATTCACTATGTAAGAATTTGTTCACCATGTAAGAACTTGTTTGTTATGCTTCAGAAGATTGGAGACTAACGAGAATTAGGCTTGGGGTGGATTAATGATTGTGCATTGAGCATTGACTTCCCTATACAGAATTTTATTGTTGTTAACAACCATTTGATCAATAAATATGAGAGATGCCCTCTCAAAAAATAAATAAATAAATAAATAAATTAATTAATTAATTTAAAAAATAAAATACTCTATTGTTTTAAGGAAAATATTAGTAATCTCTATTTCCAAAGCATTTCTGGAAGCAAAATACAAACTTCTGTTAAGTATTAAATAAAAAATCCAAATTTCTATCGTGTGAAGTAGGCATTATTTCCAACAAATAACACAATTTTCTTTCCAAGAAATAGATGAATTGAATTTCTACTAATGTAGAAATATACAAATGACATCTTCGAGTTGTCTAGAGTGATTGAAGTACAAAATTTTCAGTAGCGAGTTTTAAAAATTCAAAGGGTTGTGTTACTTACTTTTGTGACTACAAACATATCTTATAGTAACCATTAATAGGGTAAAAGTTTTTCCAACTTCCTATTTCCTTTATTTAAGTTCATTTCTATCAACAGATTTCCTTTAAGTTCATTTCTACCTCAGATTTAATATCATGTCTTTAAAGGCAAACCTTCATAATTTAGCTTTTTCATTTCTGCTTCAAGTTTTTCTTTAAGTTTTTTCACAGCCTCTAAAGCTTCTTGATCCTTCCTGTAGCCACTATCCATCTTTTTAACTTCAGCTTGTTTGGTTTTTAATTCTTGTTGGGCATGTTTCAACTTCATCTGAGCCTGCAATAGAAAAACATACCACACTATGTGAGGCAGACAGTAGTAGTGATTAAGTGACTACAGACAAGTTTCATAACCACTATAATAGGTTGACAAACCTTTCACAATTATGAAATCAGAGTAGGGAAACTAAAGACTGGAATATAGGTAAATGGGAGGTAGAAATACATCCAAGGAGGATGTTACAGCTTCAGAAACAAGGTTTTATGAAACAAGGTTTTATGTGGTGGGCATAGAAAATGGAGAGGATATTCTTGCTTTCCTGTTTAAGTTCAAGATTTCAACTTTATGATGTCAGTAAAAACAGCAAAGAAAAATTAAAGTAATTGACTAATGTCAAATATCCACAAAACTCTGTGACCAGAGTAAAGCATTTACTGCACTTACAATTTCAATTAAATGCAAAGGTATCTTGCTTCACAGCATCTTAAAGTATCATTAATATTCAACAATCAACATATTTGAATTTTGTTGTATTAGGTGCTATAGAGTGATAGAATAAAGTAAAAATGATCTTTGATATTGATCTGATTATTTTCAACATTTTGTAACAATTGCTAAAGCATAATATGAAGCAGCGTCTTGGGACTGGGGGGGGGGAACAGCAATCACACAGTGCTTACTGTCTATATTTACCTGTTTGGCTTCTGTCTGAGCTTTACTTATGTCATTTTTACAAGCCATCATTTGACCAGCAAGAGTTGCTTCTGCTCCATCTTCATTACTGGACAGGCCAGCGGAAACAGCATTGAAGTGTTGCTGTGCAGCAGCCAAAGCTTCAGCATCTTTGTTACTTGCTTCTTGAAGGGAATTCAGCCCATCTGTTATCTTTTTAACCTCTTTCTCCTTTGCTGCTAAAGTTTTAGAATCCTTAAGGAAGAGTTTCAGATTTGAAACATATTTTAGGAAAACCACCCATTTTCTTACACACATATACCCTTATGTCATCAAATTTCATAGCAGTATGAAGCAGGCATGGTAATAAGGAAAATAATTTAACCATCATAACTTTAAGTACTTTACTCCGGTTCTGAAGTTCTCTCTGTTCTTAAATGTAGTTTTATCCTACTAGAAATATTTTCATCCCATATGAATATGGGAGACAATGAACTAAAACATCATTGCAAATTTAAACCATTTGAAGAAACTAAAAATCAGTTTCTAAATCTATAGAATTGAAATAAGAGTTTTCCTACACCAAGCTTAAAAATAGAGATTTTAGGATTAAGAGCATGTCTATGTAAGTATTTCTGTAGACTATTAAGGGCCATAAAATTGAAGTACAAAATAATTGTGGGACTAGCATTACTAACATTTAACACCTTTTAAGGTTTATTAACCATAGATATCTAACCCTATGCAAGACACCAGCACCGGGGGGAAAAAAAAATCCAGCTATACTGTTTATATGAAAGTGAATAGAAATTTTGGTCTGTGTATTTGACTCATGATTCATTAAGTATTTATTAGATGTTTAACATGCACCAGGCATTGTTCTAGACATTAATGACACACAGACTCCTCAGAGAGCCTATGTTCTAGGGTGGAAGATGTAGTAAACAAATAAAGCAAGGTAAAGGGATGGAAAGTGATGGGAACCACTTTTTAAGAATGATGAGGGAAGGCCTTTTTGTGATGACATTTTGAGCAGAAACCTAAATGAAATAAAAAGAGTGACCACACTAACAGTAGGGGGACTCTACACTTGGCCAACTGAGGAATATGCTTGGGTATTTGTGGAACTGTGTGTGGATCACAATGAACAAGTGGTAAAGAGGAACCAGGAGTCACATGATGTAGGTAGAGTTCTGGAAGCCATGGTGAAGATTGGATTTAATTACACATGTGACTTTGAAACCAAGTCTATTAAAAGCACAGGAGTGACGTGATCCAATTTATATTTTAGCTTCTGTAAAGAACAGGCTGTAGAGTGGCAACAATAAAAGTAAAGCAACTGTTAAGGACTATTAGTATTGCAGTATTCCTCCTGGGAAGTAATGGCTTAGCAGTGATGGAGCTCATGGAAAGTGGCTGTACTCTGGATATACTTTTAAAGTCAACAGAATTTGCTGCTGATGATATAGAGGTTTGAGAGAAAAGGGAAAATCCAACACTCTAAGATTTCTGGACTGAACAATTAGGTTAATAGTGGTGCCATTTATTGACATGAGGAAAATTCAGTACCTAAAGGGCAGGTTTAGGTAACCAGGGAAAATGTGTTTCTATTTTGGATATGTTGTTTTAAATGTTTTGTCAGCCATCGTGTAAAAATGTCAAGTAGGTAGATAAATGAGTCTAGGATTCAGAGAAGCCAAGGCTAATTGTACATTTGATAAGCATCAAAATATAGATGATATTTAGGGCTATTGGGCTGAATGGGATCACCTAAGAAATTAGTGTGTATGGAAAAAGTATGAGCACTAGCCCTAAGGCATGCCAATGTTTATATTTTGATTTATATTTCTAGCATGGATTCAATATTTGTATATCCAACCACTTATTTGACTCTCTACTTAGATGTCTAGTAGCATCTCAAGCCAGATGTTCACATGGTACTGCTTCGTATTTTCTACCCAGCTAATGGTAACCTGATTTCCAATTTTCAAGACAAAAATCTAGAGTTTTTCAATCCTTTCATGTTCAACAACCAATCTGTCAGGTCTACGTTGTTGAACCTACCCTTAAAACACAGAATCCCCTAAATTCTCTCATTACACCCACTTCTACTGCATTTATCCAAAGGCTATCACCTAATAACTGGATTCCCTGCATTGTCTCTTTATCTTTATCTTCAAAACAGTAAGAACAGCCCATTAAAACAAAAAATGTCAATTTTTCTGCTCCACGAACTCCAGTGGCTTCCCGTTATCTCTAAGAATAAAGGTCACATCTTGCAAAACCACATGTGCTTTTACACCTCATTCCCTTTCTGCATTCCTATTACTCAGTGCTAATCAGCTATACTGATCTCCTTGCTTTTCCAATACTTCAGGCACTTAGGTCAATTAGTCTTCAGCCTAGAACATCTTCCCCCACAGCCTCCCAATTGACTTTTATTGTTATCTGACTCCCTTCAGGGTTTATGAACTACCACCCTCTCAGAGACTTTCAATGGCTACTCAATTCAAACTCCCAAGCTATACCTCTCTTTATATATTCCTAATCCTCTCCCATTTTACTTTTTTGTCTCCACATCAGTTACCACTCCCTAACATGGTATATATTTCACCTTCTTATTTCCTTCATCATTGCTTCCCTCACTGAAATAAAGACTCACAAAGCATTTTGACCATTTTGTCACTTCATCCACTGCTACATTATAGCCCAACTACACTTGGTTCATAGCAGACATTAAGTAATAACAGAATGGATAAATGTATACTAGTGGAATTAAATTAAACTTATTTGCTTACCTCAACCATATTTTTTTCTAGCTCTTCACGTTTGTTCTCTTCACTTGTCAGATTTTTCTTCTTGAGATCAAAGGCACTTTGAGATTTAGTATTAACTCTCTGGGCTTCTGCAAGAGCATCTTCTAAAGATCGGAGTATACCTCCACTTTCCTATAATCCAATTCAATCAACATACTTTAAATTCGTTCATGTTGTCATTTTCTTATATGATTTCTATATGAATGATTTACTTTTTAAGCTATTTCATTATCATACTTTAACATCAACACAGAAGACAATGCCCAATCTTAAATAATCACATATATAATTCAACATTTTTTCACAGGGCATATTATCTATTCTTGCATATATGTCTGACCTTATCTTTTCCTTTTTCCAATTCTTCTATTTCATGATTGAGTGCTTTTATTTTTTTATCATTCTCAGACAATTCTTCTTGAAGCTTTACAACTTTATCCTGCATTTCTTTTAACTCCTCAGCTGAACGTTCTTTGGTGTCTTCAGCCAGCAAAAACTGATAAGCAACATATAAACGACTTAAATGTTCTATTTCTCTCATTACTTTTTGGTACTCCAAGTACGAAGATCTTTCCTGAAAGAGAAATCACCAATAAAGTATAACTCAAAATTCATAATTAAAATAAATTTGAAGAATCAAACTGCACAGCATGTATAATATTTCCCACTATACCTTAGATTAAGTAATCATGGATTATAAATTTTAGGTCACTTTAATGACATAATAACTCTGGCTTTTTAGATAGTATTTCATTATACCATCTCTAGTGAATCCTACATGGTTATTTCTTAACCAAGAAATGTGAACATAAGGTTCACAGACTGTGGGTAGTTAAAAAGTCTGTAAATACAACGTACACAAATGCCAACAAAACACTATCACACGTATTGAGCAGCAGTTATTACCAAGAGCCTACCCAACACTCATTTCAGTAACTATTTACAAGTATTTGCTGACACATTACTAAACTTGATTCCCATAAGGACCCTCTGGACCAAAGTAAAAATTAAAAGTCTCCAATTTAAAGATGAAGAAACAAGTTCCCAAGTGGTTAAATGACTGCTCCACATTGTCAGATTTAGAAAGAATTGGGCAAAATCAGGTATGAAACCTAGTTTACACTCATGATCTAAAGTTTCCTAGTAAATAATGCATACAAAGGGGGTGCCTCAAGATCACAATTTTTCAATTTTTCCAATAACACCTACAATACTTTTAGATTCAAGACAGCTGAGAAGCATCAAATTTTAAAGAACATTTAATAAATTACCAAAAAGCATAACTTTAAAACATATGGGTAACTGATGAGCTACTGTGTTGTACACTTGAAACCAAAGTAAGACTGTATATCAATTATACTTCAATGACATATATATATATATATAATAAAACTATATATATATAATAAAACTATATATATATAATAAAACTATATATGTATACAAAGACTATAGAGAAAACCTAGTCTTCTGTTTCAGTTACCAATTGCCTTGACAGCAATAATTGTTTTTACTATTATCCTAGAAGTTATTTACTCTATCAACAAGGGTAAACATATTGTATCTTTAAGAAATGTTTTGTTCAATTTAATTATCCAGAAAAATCTATAGATTTATTTCTCTTCAAGTAATAAAATCTGGCATGTCATTTTCTGAGATTATGAAGAGCTTCTCCAAAATCATTATGACTTAAAAGATATGAAGTACATATCCTCTACAAATAGAAGGCTGAATATGGAGTACCAACTCTAACTCCTTATCTCAAATCTTAGATAAAGATTCATGAGAAATAGTATACATTTCCTCCCTGTGTGTATGATCTTCGATACATCACCAGTTTTGAGAGATATTTTGATTATGGCTGTCCTCATGTCTATGGGAAATACCTCTTTTAATTTTTGAATGGTTGGAGTAATCTCTTCTTCAAGTATCTGGAAAATAAAGGAAAATCATATTTTTTATTATGTGAAGGATCATTAAGAAATATTAAAAAGGAGAAGCATGGAGGATTAATGAAAGCAGAGTGGGGAGGAAGAGGCGGGTTCCCACTTTACAGCAGAGAAACTCTAAATGCAAAAGTACTCTCTTCTCTAAAAATATTTCATATAAACTTAATTACCGTCTTAATTTCTTTCAGCTTAGCCTCCTTTTTTTCTATAGTTTTCTGGGCAGCTATTTTTTTGTATTCATACATCCTGGTTCCAGCTGCTTCTTCTATCATGGACAAAATCTAGAAGACAGTATCACTGTATTAACAATGAGACCCAGACAATCAGTCTCATTGGCATTTATACTAAGTACATAATTTAAAGCCTTAATCTCACTAAGCATATTACCCAAAGAATTATAAATGTTAAGTTTTAACAAAATATGCGCATTAGTCATAACTCATTCAAGAAACATTTCTGGTCCTCACTCTTATTCTAAAGCCAAACTTAATGCTACACTGACATTCCAGAGTACATCTCTATTAAAAATGAAGCCAGCAGTTTCACCCTCCTCTTTTCCTTCAATTACAAGTATAAAAAAAGCAAAGTCTAACAACATTCAATTTCACTTTAGAAGTTTCTATTTAAAACTGTTCCAGGTGAGACTCAAGCCATTTAAATTCCTACATGGATGAAGAAGCATGGCTTACTATTTGCATCACAACTGTAGCTTGTGCTTTAAGAACTTGGGCAAATAAATTTCTCTGTGCCTCAGTTCTTCACCCACAGAGTACTAATATCTTATAGCATTGTTCAGAATTAAAATAATTCATGTGAAAAGCACTCTGAAAAAGGCAAATGCCTTTTATAATTTCCTAAGGACAATTTTGCCAATTGTCCAATATTCTTTTTTCAGAAGTTTCTACTCACCATTACTCCCTATCTCAAGATTATCTGGAAACCACTTTGATTTCTATGTATTTGGCAGGTTTCAAATTAGAAGTTTTCCCTTAATATGTTATCTAAAGCAAATAAGCATGACCTATGTTCAAATCAGACTTTTATTATCAATTATCAGTCTATTTAGCACTTCTCAATAGAAAGGAATAACGGAAGAACCTTTGTTCTTGTACAAAACATTCATTCTTTCATACCAACTCTCCTCAAGGGGCTCCATGAGAAAATTAAGTTTTAATGACCAGAGTAATCCATTGGATGTAATGAATTAATTTCATTCAAATCTTTTTCTGTAGATTTAACTCTGACATGGAATACTGGGCAGAAAGGCTGCAATCCACAGTCAAAATGTATTTTAATATTGGGCACATAAAACTCCTAGAAGAAAACCTTGGCAGGAAGTGCCTTGACATTGGTCTGGGTGATGATTTTGATTTGACACCAAAACCAAAGTCAACAGCATCAAAAATACACAAGTGGGACTGTATCAAATTTAAAAGTTTCTGCACAACAAAGGAAACCATCAACAAAATGAAAGGGAACTTCTAGAGTGGGAGAATATATTTGTAAATCATGTATCTGATAAGGGAATATCCAAATACATAAAGAACTCATACAACTCAACAGGAAAAATCAAACAATCCAATCAAAATATGGGCAGAGGATGTGAATAAATATTTTTCCATAGAAGACATACACATAGCCAACAGGTATATGAAAGGTGCTCAGAAACACTAATCATCAGGGAAATGCAAATCAAAGCCACAATGTGATGTTACCTATTAGAATGACAATTGCCAAAAAAAAAAAGCAATAAGTATTGGTAGGCACATGGACAAAAGGGAACCTCTGTGCATTGTTAGTGGGATTATAAATTGGTGCAGCCACTATGTAAAACAAACACACTAACTTAAAAAGTTATCTGTACTCCTGCATTCACTGCAGCATTATTTCCAATAGCCAAGACATGGGAATAACCTAAGTGCTCACTGCTGGATGAATGGATTAAGATAATGCGCTCTCTGTATCTATTTATATATACAATAGAATATTACTCAGACATAAAAAAGAAGGAGATCTTGCTATTGCAACAATGTGAATGGACCTTGAGGGCATTATGCTAAGTGAAATAAATCAGAGAGAAAGACAAACACTGTATGATACCACTTATATGTGGAATCTTAAACCAATCGAAAAAAAAAAATCCAAACTTAAGGATACTTTAAAGTTAAGAGAAGTAGATCTTACAAGATCTTAAGAGAGCACATCTTTTAAAAGTTCTTATCACAAGATAAAAATGTGTAACTATGCAGTGATGGATGTTCACTGGACTTATTGTGATCATTTCACAACATACACATGTTTATCAAGTCATTATGTTGTGCACCTGAATCTTGTATGTCAATTATAACTCTATTAAAAAAATTATTTCTAAAAATCTGATTAAAAATCCATGCCTTTTCTTACACATTCTCACTTTATCTTCTGAACAGATCTGAGGTAAGGATTATTGATTCCAATTTATGGGTGAGGAAATTAAGGCTCAGAAGGGTTAAGTACATAACTCAAAAGAAAAAAAAAGTTGGGCACAATTCCAAAAAAATCCCCACAAAACCCTACTTTCTTTAGTCATTCTTTAATAATGTTTCCAAGAATGTTAACAATGGAAAAAATTGTGCTAAAATTGATTACTTAGAAAATTAAAACAATACACATGAATGGGTCTAGAGCGTATTAAGTTCAGTGAAATAAACCAGGCAGAGAAAAACAAATACCGAATAATTCCACTTATTTGTGGAGTATAAAAACAAAGCAAAATAGATAGAACAAAATAGCAGTAGACTCATAGACAATGAGAAGTGATTAATGGTTACCATGCAAGAGGGGGAGGGGGGAAGGAGACAAAGAGGCACAATAATTCTCCATCACAATAAAAGTTGTTTGTGGGGATGGTACAGCACAGAGAATATAGTTAATGATTCTGTAACATCTTATTTACCAAAATTGATAGATAATGACTGCACTAGAGGGGGTGAGGATTTAATATGGGTAACTGTTGAACCACTGTGTTGTATATTTGAAACCAACATTAGATTGCACATCAATGATACTTTAATTTAAAAAAAAAACAAAAAAAAAAACAATACCTATAATTACTGTTTTTACTGTCTATATATAGAGCAAGTACTCTTACCTCTGGAGGTTTCATATTTAATACTTTTGTAATTCGGCCCTGAAAATAAAATGGCAAACTTACTATAATAGTAACAAATTACAAAAAGAGTAACTGAAGAGCCTACATGTTTATCTGCACTGAAGCTGTTGTATCCTAACATACCAATCCTTTGGAAGTTCTTTTTTTCATTCTATATGAAAAGATACTTTTATTAGATTTGAGATGAAAGGTATCTTGTAATTTTAGTATTTTGCTATTCACTCTCACTTATCAGTGATACAAATTATGTTCTTAAATGATATAAAGTTAACTCAGACCTTATTCTGAGACAGTTAATATTAACTATTATTAAGCAAGACTTACCATTAAGCAAGACTCCAGTTCTAAAACAGGTTAAGCATATACAATTTAGTTTAATTATTGGACATGTCTTGATTCTTTTTGATAGCCCTTTAATTCCTACAGACTGCATATTTCTAGTTCTCACATAGAATAGTAAAATGTTTTATATCAAGGCCAGAAATTCATCAAATTCATACAGTATCCAAAAAAGCTCAAATCAACAAAACCAAAAACAAACAAACAAAAACCTCCTGCTACTTAACCCTGAGAATCATATTACTTAAGAATTTAGATTCATGTAAATTTTCAGCACTGAGGCTATGACATAGTGAAAATTATTTTTGGTTCCATTAGGATACTGCCATTGATCTTGGGATGAGTTTCTCAAAGGATAGAAAGGATAGCTGGCTGGATCTAGTGAGATAACATAAGGTAAAGATAACATTAGCCCTTATTTTTCATTTGAGTAAGTCTCTAAAGAAGAAAATTATTTAAATTTTAACGTATATTTGAACTTAAAAATGCTTTAATCCAGTATTGAAAGGATATACTATGAGAATTTTTTGTTAAATAGTAGCCATGTACTGTTCCTGTAAGAACAAAGTAAGTCAAGGAAAATTATTTCTAGACATTCTTTAAAATTCAAATGTATATAACATTAACATATCAGTACAAATAACTAACCCATATTTCTTAACAGGTGCCCAACACCAGCATACTAATAAAAAATGGAAAAACCAAAAAGAAACACTTTTTCTATTGTAGTAACTTAAAAAATAAAAGATGTAAATACCACTATCAAAGATATAAAGACCACAAACAAAATACCTGCATGATGAGAAAGTGAGGGTTGTTAACATTAAGGCCAACAGAACAGAAGAGATCCTGTACTCTGGTATTGTTTGCATTTACTCCATTGATTAAATATTTATTTCTGCCACCAATAACCACCTAAAAAGGGAAGTATTTTAAAAGGTATAAATGAATACGTACATCTTTAGCTAGGATGATAAATTCCAAATATATTATCTTTCATTTGCTTGTCCTGTCAAACTAGTGGTAAGCCAACCAATTATGAGAGTGGAGAAGTACAACATGATCAGGAATGAGACTGATTCAGGACATGTGGCTTCTAACCCAGGACTTTTGCTAACTATGCATGTGACCTCACCACACATAAATCTCCTAACCTCCCGTGTGAGACTAGTTCTCTAAGATTGCTTCCAGCTTTATGTTTCCAAGTATGTGTAAAACATATTTTCTATCCCTGATCACCATCTTTTTGCAATTTTTCCTCTTCCTCCACTTTTAATTTCCTATGGAACAGAAGTCAGATCCTAAAACTAAAGACAAGGAGTTTAATAGCAGTCCAGACAAGATTCTAAAACAGATTATTAAAGACATGACTTGTGAGTACCTGGATCCTTCAGTTCAGCATGGAATGCATATGAACAATTTATACCAGACACCAGCTTATTCATTCTCTACTATAGCTCTCACACTGTCATTTATTGGGTGTGAATGTCTCACCCACCATATTTTGAGGTCCTTAACAGACAAGATCTGCTTCTCATTCTTCTATTTATATTTCCCAGTGCTTTCAAGGATGCCCAGTATAAATCAAGCACTCAATATTGAATAAATGCTAATTCATTTCTTTTCCTGACAGGATTATTTGGTTAGTAGATCATACATTAATACATTTCAACAGTAGGTCTAGTAAACCCATAAGTAATTTGACAAAGTGTTTATAACAAAATTCTGGAGACGATACAGGCATATGGACTTGTATGAGGACAGGAATTTTATACGGATTAGTGGCAGACTTACTGAAAACTCCTGTAGAGTGATTATTTAATGGATACTTAATGGCACAGAACAGGATTCTGCCCCAAACTACAATGCTTATTTTTGTTTGTTTTTTAAACAGAGGTTTTCATTAAAATAGAAAGGGAAATAAAGTTATATAATGCTGAGATGTTAAATAAGTGAGAGTTAACAGAACTTTTAAAAATAAAACTTTGGTAAACTGAAACTAATGTCTGACTTCTATAAAGAAAAAGGTTTTAAGGGATAAGTTTAAGGTCCTGCATTGGTTTCAAAAACTTGCTTACATACAGGAAATGGAGGTAACATGGCTAAGTAATAGCACACATGAAAAAATTAGTGATTTTAAGAAAATAGGATATGAATTCATAATGCATTATGAATTCCCCAATGTCATATGGGGAAAAATAGTAAAGTACATAAAATGAAAGATGGGACAACTCTTAATTTTGTCCTAACTAGACCAATTCTGACACATGCAATTTGCAGTGTTGTGCATTAAAAAAAGGATATAAAAAATTGGAGCCAGAAACAACTGAAGGAACTAGAAACTAGATTCTTTACAAGCAGTAAAGGAACTAGAAAACAACTAAATATCGATTGAAAGACATAGATTTAGCTTAGAAAACACCTAGACTTTCAGAACACTTAAATATTGAAATATGGAATATATTAAATTTGCCCTCCATGCTCTCAAGGGAAACAGCATTAATGTGTAAATCCTGAAGATAGCACTGTCTCAATTTATAGGAATAATTTTCTGATTAGACCTATCCAAAAACCGAACAGGTTCCCTTAGAAGATAGCAAGTTCCCAAGTACTAGGAGTATTCCAGCACAGAAAAGATGCAGGCATGGGTCAAGATTTAAGCATGGCTGAGTGCTTGTACTGATGACTTTTCAGATATCTTTCTATCCTTTTGGTAAATGATGGAATTTGTATAATCAAAATTTTAACAAGGCAGACATTCTTAGGGAATCTAGTATTTGATGCATCCATTCTGCTCATAAACTTTTCCTCTCAAGCAAAGTCATACTGCTAAAAAATACAACAGACAAGCAAATTCTTAGGTATCCAAATATTTAGCAGTCACTTACCTGCCTTGTTACTGTAATTTCATCATGAACCTCAAATCCTAAAGGACTTTGCTTTTTGTCAGAATTATCAAAGGTGATTGACACTGAAGCTTTGGTAATACCAGCCTGTCCATTTTTGTAAACTAAATCTTGTAAATTAGAAGCCCGAACCTAAAGTAAGAAAAGTGTTATCAATTATAAAAACCTGTACTGAACAAAATGGCACTAAAAGGGGTTTCCCATATAGTGTTCCCAAGTAGCCAGGCAGTTATATTCACACAAAAGGAAAGGAAAAGGGCAACAACCTGAAATGAACACCTTTCTCCAGTTTTTCAACGCTGAAATGAATTGTTTTCTACTCATTTCTTAACAAAAGTTAATTTGAAAGACTGAAGGGAAGATAATGTCTAAGCATTTCACTATTTATCCAATCCTATTAGGAGATCCTGAAAAAGCATTTTAACACAGAGGGGTGAGGAGCGGGAATATGGACTATGGAATGAGACTGCCTTGAAGTAACAATATCTGTCTTTACGTATTGCTCCAAATATCTTAAGAGGACAACCCTTAGGCAACCCCTCTACTTTTCTATTTTCTAACCTAAAAAATGGAGTAATACCTACCTTTAAAGGTCTGCACTGACGTGTAAAATAATTCATATAAAGTAAAAAATGCAAATAAGAGAAAACTGGCAAGTTTCCAATTCTCTTTTTGAGGTTCCTTAAATTTACATTAAGTCAGAAAGTTTACACTTTACCTGAGACAGGTTGGAGATGCCCAGCAAAAAGCAGATGGAGTCCAATATATTGGATTTTCCACTACCATTTAAACCAGTAATAGCATTGAAGAGGGGATCAAAACCATTGACCTCAGTTCTCTGAGCATAGGACTTGAATCCCTCAAGAATGATTGACTTAATATGCATTTTCACCACCGACTTGCACCGGTAAACCTCTGCTACCAATCAAACAGGCCACAAAGTAGTTCTGTATAAACAAGAAACACGTAAATGTAAAGCAAATTTGGAACCATAGTGACTGTAAAAACTAAAAAGCAAAAACGACAGCTCAACAGAAATAAAACAGCCACTTGACAAGCTACTTCCTCTAAAGTAAACGTACCCTTTCCAACTTAAAAACATAACGATAGTTAGTCACTACCTGGAAGTTAACTAAACCGTTAATTCAACCTGGAAGTCAACTACTTACCTCTCCAGGTTTATCTTCCACCGTTAGTATACTCTAGCTGACACAGACTACTAATTCTTTCGTAGCCTCTTCCTCCTGCCTGTAAAGTCTTTCTCCCCATACTTGCAGGGCTCCCTCTCCTTTGCTGCACTCCTGTCTTCGTTCAAATGTCCTCTTCCTCGTGACTTCCCTATATGAAAGAGCACCTCTACCTATTCCCTAACTCCGCTTTGATTACCTTCATGGTACTTAAGGCTGACACCAAACAATACTCGTTTGTTCATCTATCCTACTGCACGTTGCTGTAGGATCTTTGCCTGCCGCCACCGCCGTACGCACGACTGCCTGACTCGACGAGAGCTGGGCTTAGGAGGGGGGTTGTCAGTACGTATCCATGAAAGAAGAATCCCCTATGCTCTCCAGTCTCTTGCTTTCATGTAGGCTGTTCCCTCGCCTCTCCAGGCCTTCCTGTGAACACTTCCTCGCCAGACTCCAAGGCTGGGCAGGAACCAGCCATCCCGCCAGGGATCCCTGAGGCCTGACTTAGCCGGAGCCACGCCTCCCGCCTGAAAGGCCAGGCCAGGCCGAGCCAGCTGCACGCACACGCCGCCTCACCTCTCGTCAGGTCTCGACTGGAGGCGCCCCGAAGCTCCTCCAGGCCCTCGGGGCGGAGAGCTGGCCCACCTCGCCGGGCCTGGGCGCTACGGAAGGAGAACTACCAGAGCTGCCGCAACCCTCGCCCGCGCTCGGCACCGGGCCGAACTATTTATGCCTTTGAATTTAGGCGCGAGCAAAGGACCCCACCGCCGCGGCCTATTTCATTGGCTGCTGCCTAGCAGATGCCTGATTTAGGGGTTCCATTTTCCTCAAAGCGACAGATGCATAGAAGAGAGGGTCCTGGCAATGGCAGCTCCGAGGGTGCCACGACTCGAGCTTGACAACGAAAGGAGCAGGCGGCGTAGGTCGCGATCGGCGTCCGGCACCCATTGGGCAGCCACGTCCCCGGCCCAGGGCCTCGCGCCTCACCGCCCCGCTCTCCGATGGCCGCCCGGAGCCCCCGCCCTCCTGCGGGCCGCGGGGCGCCGCTGGAGTTGTTTACGGCCGCCGGAGGCGTCCCGCTCTCCCCCTCGCTCTGCTCCGGCGCCTCAGACTCCTCCGCGTTGGCTCAGATTCGTGGACCGGGCCTGGGAGGTGCCGAACTTCGAGACCCGGCCCGCGTCCTGGCTCCGCCCCTGGCGGGCCTGGGCCTCTCAAGCAAACTGAGTCACAGATAAGCAATTTACTCTGAGTAGTAAATGGGAAAGCTGAGAATTTTTCCCCAGCAGTCTGGCTCCAGAGCGCATACTGAAGCGTTACCTACCGCTCCTCCGTGTATGCAATCCAGTACTACTAACAATAGGTCCTGTATTTGTGTGTATTATTTAAATTAAAAAAGGAAGAAAACACTGGCTAGTTTATTCACAGTTGAGCATATTGTCGCTAATGAGTTAGGAAGGACTTGCCTCGGAGTGCACTGGGGTGCAATCCCTAAGTAATGGACGAGAAGACGGTATGGCCGTATATTTTTTGACCATGTATATGAAGTTGCTTTTTTACCCTCGGATTGGCCTTACAGTATTCCACACCTGTCTTAACTACCAAGAATGGGCCTATGTTTTGAAGTTCTTTGCTACTGAAGAGAATAAGTTTTGCGGGTTTTTTTGTTTGTTTGTTTAAGGAAGAGTTTACTTGCTGTCACATCCCACTTCTTTCTTTAATGTCAATCGTGACTGGCCCAGCATCATCTAAACAGTTATCTTTGTCTATTTTAATTCCTGCATCTCCTACACTCCACAGCTCTTCACTTGTACTTATGATTTTATTCAGTCTTAATCTATTTATTTTCAACTGTGTCCCTTCATTTCATCACTTTGTGAATGAATAATTTTTAAGTTGCCAACATACTCTACTGTGGTTTTCATCCTGTGAAATTAACATCTCTGGGGGTGAAAACAATGTGTTAAAACAACATTAGCTTTGCACTTGTCTAATTGGTGGCTTATATGTTTCAAATGGATGAAAAGGTGCAAATGTACTTTTGCTGAATAAGGACTTCTGGGTAGTTCTAAGTATACACATCAAACTACTCGATGTATTTATTAAAATGCACATTGCTTACAGGGTAAAGCCGTTATCAGCTTTAGTCATGGAGCGTGCTAGGAACACTGGAATTTCTGTCAGTATAGATAGGCTTGTGGGAATCACTAAAGGCTGACGTAGAACTTTGCCTCCTGGATCACCACGGGAAACTGGAGGGTAGATTGGGTGCAAACAGAGCACTATTGCGATTTCATCAGAAATGTGCATCAGAAGCTTTTTTTTTTTATTTGGTATCATTAATCTCATCAGAAGCTTTTGAAAGCTTCAAAACTGGCAGACTAGTGGAGGCCTGGCCCTTGTGTAGAAGGCAGCACCAACAAGGGCACGATAAAAGCCCTGACGCGAAACTTGTGAAAATGCTGGCCGCCTACTCTTCCAGGGCACTGGGAAGGACCTTATTCTCCCCGGTGCTCTTTTCTAACTTTGGAGTCCTAAAGTAGGCCTTCTTGAAACGTGGATGAATTCTCTCTCCGTGGAACTTAGAAGAAAAAGTGAAAGGACTGCACCTTCACAGGAAAAATAAGGGAAGGTTAATTCATTTTGCTGTGAAACTAATTTTGGCTTCAAGGGAAGGAATTGAAAATGACAAGAAGTTCATTGTAAACTTGTATTGAGTAGCAAATACTTGGATACAAGTACGACATCTGACAAACTTGGAAAGAAACAGAGCTGAGCATAATTTAAAATGAATAGAAAAGAAAGTGATTACATTCATTCATCTGTGGGATCTGGTTAGACCCATTCATTGTCATTTCAATGACAATATTGCTTTCAATACTACATGTTTTGTTTGGTTCTTTGTGATATCTGCCTATTCTTTCTATTTTGCCTCTTTAATAAAATTAAATCTTTATCTTTTCTTTCAGGTCCTTCTATTATTCCTAGCTTTTACGCTCTTTATTGTTTACAACATTTGCTGATGTACTCAAAGTGATTTATTTGCTCCTCTGGTGCTGTTCTGAGATGGGGTTGTTTTTTTTACGGGAGTCTCTTCTGCCTTGAATTGAGAGTCCCTTCAGAGCAGTTATGTATTTGCTTCTGCCAGGGTTCTTTGGCTCCTAAAGATCCTGAAGCATTTGTAAATTATTATTTCTCAATTTTTGGTTCCTGAATTATGCAAGTATTGTAAATTTGTATCTATTGCAGGCCTGGGTTTTTGATTTCTCACAGGCACCTTTGGTTTTAACTCTTATCCAAAGCTCCAGAAAAAGAACCAACTTCTTTGCCTATTCACCAGACTAGTAGGTGAAATTTTTCTAGTCCCAGTTCTTTAAGGTGCAAGGTTTTACCTAAGGGCCTAGTTCCAGCTGCTCTGCCTCACTGAAATTCAAGGCCCTGTGCTTATGCATTGAACCAGCTAGTGATCCCTACAGCCAAGTTCATAATGTTGGAGGGCTGCCAGGGCATCCACTCCGGTGCTTCTAATTTTCAATTTGTTTTGGCACTGAGAACTTCCCGTTTGTGTTCTTATTTTCTGTTATGAGCTTGGTATTTAGTTTATGTAATAGTTATATTTTATCCAGTATTCAGGAGTTCATAAAGGGAAGTTCAGCCAGCATGCTAAAGAAGGTCTTCCCATGGACTTTTCAGGAATAATATCAGTGATCTTTGTTTTGCTGTTGCCCAAGCCTTGCTCTCAGATTTTCATACACAAAGTAGCTTTTCCTAAAAAAAAAAACACAGAGAAAGACTTGTACCAGCTCTTAAGAAAATATTTTCACATACTGTTTGTTCGTCCGGGTTTTACAGCTCTCCTTGGCTTTCCTCACTTGCATGCTGGTTCATGGCCACAGCTGCTCTTCTCCTGTGCTTTGCCACTGCCCTTCCTTTACAGGGATGATTGTGGGCTCCACTTCCTCAAACATTATTCTCATTCACTGTTCTCCCTGTCAGAATGGTCTCTTACTACTTTTTATTTCAAATCCATACACATCTGCGTGACCTGCCAGTTGGTTCCCTTTTATTACCAACTCAATTCTTAATTGATCCAAGTAGACTTTTGGCTCTTACTAGATTTTTTTTTTTTACAAAAGATCTGCCTTTTCTGTAATTAATGTTTCCTTTACCTGTTACATTATTCTGCAGTCTTCTACAGTCACAAGTTTTCCTTTTCAAAATCTGACTTAAATTTCCTACTTCAACAATACTCATTAGCTGCCAGTCTCTGCCCTCTTTAAAGTTCTACAAAATATATATGTTATCAGAAATATGTCACTTCTTCACTTTGTATAAACCCTTGATGAAAACTGCCTACAGAATTAATTCTAATTTCTTTAATGTGATATGCCTGGCCTTTCATAATTTATTCTCAACCTGCTTTGCCAGGCTTACCTCCTACTATTTCTCCCTTAGATTACCATGTCTTCTTTTGTTCACTACTATGAACTAAGCACCAACCAATGACAAAAAGTAATGTTAGATAAGCTTGTTAATGAATGAATAGTGAATTCAATAGACATGTAAATAATTCCTATATTATACTAAGAATTGTGATAGGTGCTGGGGTACAAATATGAATAAGATGTGAGCCAGTCCCCAAGAAGACTAACTGAGTAGAGATGACAAGTATGGAGATGAGAGAAGAGCGGAAGGCATTATA